CCCTGCCCTCCACCTGCCCTCCTTGATGGTAAATTGAGCTCTGATACCGCTTCTACCAACTGTGTCCTGTGATACTCCATGCACCCCAAAAGAATGTCACCTCAACCTGGTGGGAATGTTTGGACCCTAGGGTGGAGGCTGCCTGCTTCATCTCAGTGTCCCCAGGGCTCAGGCCAGGCCCCATGGCCTGGCCCCATGAGATGCATTGAGGGAGCATCAAAAACTGGCTGGGAAGTGGCTGGAAAGAGGTGCCCCTGGTCCCTGCTGGAAAGAGTGCCTGGTACCTATCTGTCCAAGAAGTGTCATGCCCTGGCCCCTTCGGGCAGGAAAGAAGGGGCAGAAGACACCTGGACTGTGTGGGAGGCAGGGGTGGGTTGGGGTGGTGGGCAGATCCAGTGCTGACTTGCCGGCCCTGACAGGGACAGTTGCTTCCTTGTCTGTTCCCGTCCCCTGGGGCCATGCTTTGAGGCGCTCATTTCGGCCCCATCGGGTCTGGGTGGGTGTGTGCCACTGCCCCCTCCCTTGGACAGCAGCATGCCTTCCTTTTTCCCTCAGGTCTCTGTGAGGATGCAAGGTGGGAGACCCTGGAGGAGGGGAGCCAGCGCCTCCTGCCCTGGGCCTACCTGAGCTGCAGGTTCCTCATGAAGTCCTCCATGGTCACTTGGTCCAAAAGCACGAAGTCAGGTTTGCCACACTCAGGGCCTTCCTCGTCCTCCATCCTGCCGGCTGGAAACACCTTGCCTCACCTTCCTGTGCCTGCCGGCAGGACAGTGAAAGAGAGGGGAAGGGGAAGGGAAGGCTTGGGGAGGCCCCACCGCCCCCGCCCTGCCTCACCAGCCTCCTCCAGTGCTGGTGTAAAGTAGGAAGTGGGTTCTGGTCCTGGGAGGGGCTGCCCTCCCCACTTGCCACTCCTTCCCTTTCGAGGTGCTCTAAACCCTGCTTCCTGTCCCTGCGCCCCACAGGGAGGCTGTGCCTAACGGTCTGACCCGCTTGCACACCAGGGCCGAGGGGCCGGATGCTGGGTCCTCCCTGCTCTGGAGGGTTCTTTGCTGGCCTCCTTCGGAAGCTCCCTTCCACCCACAAGCAGGAGACAAGACTCTGTGGGTTGGTTTCCAATCCTGGTAGCACGTTAGAGTCACTTGTGGGAGTTTAAAGAAGGATTTTTTGACGTGATCTTGGTTACCCGGCTGTGCGTGTCTGTCAAGTCAGAACTGAACACTAGATGCAATTTACTGTATGTACATTGTACATTAATACAAAAATGAAAAAAGATCCTAATATCCAGGCTTTTGGGGTGGGGGCAACAGCCTTCTTTGAAGTGTGAAGGCCACATTGGGGTGTAGATGAGCAAAGCTTCTTGTGTAACCTGCCAAGGACCAGTGGTCCTAGCACTGCAGTTCCCCACCCCAACCACGGGGGAGGGACGGAGGACCCCAGAGCATCCTCTGCATAGGGCTGGCCTTCAGTGGGACCCCTAACTGTCCTCTGCCTTGTACTTGCATCCAGCTGATCCCCCATAAACCCAGTGAGGACTAGGCACATGCCTGGAGCCCTGGGGACCTCATCTCAGAGCCTGCTGTCCCTGCGCTTTGAAGATGAGGCAGCGCATTTGGGGAGTGGCTGCATTTGGAGAGTGGCCAAAATCTCCAAACACTGCATTCCTGACACTCGGTGCCCGTCTCCTGGAAGAAGTGGGAGGGGTGCAGTTCTCTTAGCCTCTAGGCAGACTGGGGAAAGTTCTTTCTCATCCCAGGACAGACTGGGGCAGGTCACACCCATCCTCTAAGAACACTGGGGCAATTCTCTCATCAAAGGTCCTCTAAGAACACTGGGGCAATTCTCTCATCAAAGGTCAAATGGACACAGTTCTCTCTCATCCTACAAATAGACTGGGAACATTTCTCTTTCACCCCTGCCCTCATACAGGGAGGTCAGAGGGTGGACTCCAGAATTCCCAAACTTCAGTCATTCATATGATGCCTTTGAGATTTGTTGTACTCGTAAGCACTATTTTAACTATTGTCTTTCAGTCATCCCATTTTTCAAACTTCGAAGTAATGGATAGGCAAGTTAAGGTTTTTTTTTTCTCTCAAATACCTTAAAGTGAATGCATTTCTGATAAAACTGAAAGTATCCAAGTACCTAATAAAACTGAGTCATGCACCATCTGCGATAAGGGACCACTGGCCTGAAAAATCCCCAAATTTGTAAGTGGGCAGCCTCTGGCTCCACCCTGGGCCAGACCTGAGGCTCCTCTTAGGCAAATTCAAATTCAGTCCTTCCAAGCTCTGACAAGTGTGGTCTCCTCTCCACCCCCAGGCTCTTGGGCTGGTGCTTTTGAAGGGTTTCCCAAACCTACACTCAAGTCTGGGAATTCTCACCCAGACTCTTGCCAGCTCATCTCCCTTTTCAGTTTCACTTCCCCAGCCCCCAGGGAGTCAAGCCAACCAATGGAACCAACATGGCTGTGTTCCAGGAAAACGTTAAGGACACCGAAATGTGAACTTTGCAAACTTTTCATCTGTCACGTAATCATACTATTTTGGGTTTCCCCCCTGCCACTAATGACTTAAAAATGTCAAGACCACTCTTAGCTCAGAGATTTAGCCGGCAGGAGGAGTTTGCCCGCCCTTGCTTTAGACGCTGCTGGTTACTGGGACCCTGGTCCTTCCTTGGTAGTTTGCACAAATTTGCCATGCATTGCCTCATTTGATTCTCATGACCCATGTAGGAGTTACTGTTATTTTCGTTTTACATCTATTAAAACTGAGGCCAAGATGACATCACTGCAAAGGAAGTTCCCTCCTGGGTCAACAGACCTCTGGGCCCTTCTAGCACTGAATTCAGTGGGTCCTACTCAAACCCCAGGGAAAGCCAGTCAGTCAGAGTCACGGCCTGGTCCTCACAAGGCAGGACAAGTGGTATAGCTCTATCTGCTAGGGCATCCCCAGGGCATGCTCCTTACAGGGTCTAACTGGTAAAACAGGTAGATAAACAAAGGCAGAGGCTCCTAATGGAAGGACAGCAAGGAGGGGCCACCACCAACTCAAGCCTAGCGGGGTCTGAGGAAACCATCCTGGCCCTGGTGAGTTTCACTCTCATTATCTCATCCGGATCAGTTTCACGATACCTCCCAACACCAAGGCTCCTACTGCTGCATCTACAGTCCCCTTGCCCTCACCGTCCACGATGCAGTCTTCAAATCCCAAGCGTGCTCTGTTGGTGCTGACCTTGCAGCAAATCCCCAGCCCCAGAAAAATGTCCCCTTTCAGGGGAGTTGCTTTTTCAGCTCTACACAATGCACCATAACTTAGTATTTGTATTTAAAATTTTTTTTACCTCATCTGAGGTGCTACCATTGGGCTAGTTGTAGGGGAATGGCTCTACCAAGGCGCATACTCTCAGAGGCCACAGGCCACACAGCTCAACTGAGCCTGAAAAATCCCCAAATTTGTAAGTGGGCAGCCTCTGGCTCCACCCTGGGCCAGACCTGGGGCTCCTCTTAGGCAAATTCACATTCAGTCCTTCCAAGCTCTGACAAGTGTGGTCTCCTCTCCACCTCCAGGCTCTTGAGCTGGTGCTTTTGAAGGGTTTCCCAAAACCTTCTGGAACTGAGGGTGGAGGCCTGGGAGGCACTGCCATAAGGCCAGCTCCACTCCCTGTTCCATCCCTTTGGGAGGCTATCAGGAATTGCTGTCTCCTGGGATTTTTTTCTAAGCAGGGATGTGAGGCTTCCAGTTCATACCCCACTCCCCCCATGGTATAGCTGCAGACTAGACAATCTGCTCAGCTGCAGTCTAGAATTGGCTCCTCAACAAGGGTAGATGCTATGCCTCCTGTTGCAGGCCCCTTTGGGTGCTTTTCCATTCACTGTCAGTAGTAAATTGAATGTAAGTCACTGGAGGCTGGGTGCGGTGGCTCACGCCTATAATCCCAGCACTTTGGGAGGCCAAGGCAGATGGATCACCTGAGGTCAGGAGTTTGAGACCAGCCTGACCAACATGGTAAAACCCCATTTCTACTAAAAATATGAAAATTAGCTAAGCGTGGTGGCATATGCCTGTAATCCCAGCTACTTGAGAGGTTGGGACAGGAGAATCGCTTGAACCCAGGAGGCGGAGGTTATAGTGAGCTAAGATCATGTCACTGCATTCTAGCCTGGATGACAGAGCAAGACTTCATCTCAGAAAAAAAAAAAAAAAAAAAAGGGCTGGGCGCGGTGGCTCACGCCTGTAATCCTAGCACTTTGGGAGGCCGAGGTGGGTGGAGCACGAGGTCAGGAGTTCCAAGACCAGCCTGGCCAAGATGGTGAAACCCTGTCTCTACTAAAAATACAAAACTAGCTGGGCATGGTGGTGGCCGCCTATAATCCTAGCTACTTGGGAGGCTGAGGCAGGAGAATCACTTGACCTGGGAGGCGAATGTTGCAATGAGCTGAGATCATGCCACTGCACTCCAGCCTGGATAACAGACTCTGTCTCAGATTAAAAAAAAAAAAAAAAGTCACTGGTACTTTAATGGCTCTATTTGTCAGGCCTTGGCCTGCTGCAACATTCCCTGACAACATCACCAACACCAACCTGGGGCACATCACACATATTAAGGGTATTACTTCTGTAACTTGTTTGAATGCTTAGGTGAATACCTAAGACGATCTAAAGAGACAGAATGTCTTATCGAGCCAACCATCAAATGTTCCTGGAAACCACTCAGGATCTCAAGGTAAAGCTCCTGATGACAGTGCCTTTGTGCACCACCACCCTACTGCAGAATTCAGCCAGTTGGCCTTGGCTTGTGAACTCTCACCGCAGTTTGCCACTGTCAGTTGAAACTGGTGGCACATGCACATAAGGTGATCAGAGTTCCAAGTGGCTATCTACAAGCATGAGCATTGAGAATGGTGAAATATTTGGGGATCCCTTGGACTTAGCTGACAACTCCTTCAAGAAGACACAGGGTCTTCCTTATCTTTGCTTATGGAAAGAAGAGGCAGGACTAAATCACATATTTAAATCCATATTTATTAAATAGCCCTTGTTTTTCATTCAGGAGATACCAGAAGGGCCCAGGTCCTGGTGCACAGCAAAGCTTCTCATTCTGGAAGCAGAGAACCTGGCACCCAAACCTAGGGCCAGAGGTCTGTCAGACCCATAGGCCAGGCCCAGAACTGGAAATTCCTGACTCCTTCCAGAAGGGCAGCAAACAAGGTTTCAAACTTGCTCAATTAAGGTGCCAAGACTTGCATTCAAATTCAGCTCCACTCATCAGCAGATGTATTAACACAGGCAGGCCTCATCTGTAAAAATGAGATGAGAAACACTTCACAGACCTGTTGTGAAAATTAAGTGACATAATTGACACAACTAGGGATTATTACAAACCCCTATTGCCATCAGCGGCAACAACAGAACTGAACCCTACTTACCAACTCCTGAACCCACTCCCACCATGAGCTGAGAGGCCTGTGACCAACCTCAGTGGCAGCCCATGCCCTTTCCAGGGGCTGAAACACTGGCCACTGACCTAAGGTTACTCCAGAGAAAAGACTATGTATATTGAAACCAAATCACAAAAGCAGTAAAATACCACCCCCAAGAATCAGGGTTCATGAGTCCAAACACTAGACAACTGTTTGTCCCAAAATAGTCTTGTGAGCTCGAAGACAACGAACCTTTCTGGGATTCAATCACCTGACTTACAATACGGGAAGGTCAAAATAAGGCGATGGTTTTTGAACTTTTTCTAGCCAGGTGATTCTAAATAAAACAGGAGTGAAGTGACTTGCTAGGTGAGACCTTCCTGCACACTTACCCCTGCACAGGTTCCAAGGAACAGCCTAGCAGCCACTGAAGGTATCTTCTCACAGGTCAGGTCACCTCTAGCTCCGGCATCTCAGGATTGCTGCTGTAGAAACACTGAGGGATGGCAGGTACTCTTGTGCCATGTGCTGGGTCAGGGACACAGAGTGGAGCCACTGGTGAGAGGTGGCTGTCAGTAACTGGCAGCTAACAAGGTCGCCTCCCAGTTTCATGGACACTGGTAGAAAATACAAAATTCCTCGATTAGGGACAAGGGACCATTGATTATTCAAAGCAATAGCAATAGCCAGAGCATCAGCATTTTCTACCACCCTCCCAAGCCCCAGTTCCCATAGGGAAGTCAGAGGCACCTGCCTAGGCCATTGGACTACTACAGGAAAGGAGTGCAGGACTCTACCCTTTCATAACGCACAGCAAGAATGCCTGCTCTCTGCTCTGGAAGAAGGTACTACCTCGTATGTTCCAAGGCTGTCTGCTGCACAAACATCCTTGAAAAGATAATAAGGAAAAGGGGTAGCCAGTGCTTTACTCACAAGATTGCTTGAACATGAGACTCAAGGAGGGACCTCAGCAGGCCTGGGGTGTTCAGCAACTGTTCCTGGCCTGAAAAGACAGAATCAGCTGGAAGCCTCTACCTTTAAGAGAGGCGACCCCACCACCCAAAGGAACACAGGAGCTGTGCTGCTTGTGCTATGCCCAAGCCAGCAACACTCTTCCCATCCCAGTCAATTCTTTTTTTTTTTGAGACGGAGTCTCGCTCTGTAGCCCAGGCTGGAGTGCAGTGGCCGGATCTCAGCTCACTGCAGGCTCCGCCTCCCGGGTCC